TTCCATTCTTTTTAAACCTTGTTTCTATTTTTGCTTTGCTTTTAAAGCTTTGTGGGGTTTTTGGGAGTTTTATTTATATTAATTTTCCGAATAATTTCCCCCCCCCCAAAAAAATCCACAAGGAAGTTCATGTGGTTGCTCTTTACCTATCTTCTAAGCTACCTCCAAATTCATGGAAACGTTGCATTATAGGCTTGGAAGGGACCTCGGAGATCTTCTGGTCCAACCTGCTCTTCAAGGCAGGACACTTAAACCATCCCTCTCAAATGGTCGTCCAGTCTACTCTTGAAAACCTCCAGTGACCCACAAAATCAGGAGGCAAACTATTCCACTGATTAATTGCTCTGACAAAATATATGCATGCATACATGTATGTATGTATGTATATATATATATATAAATGTAACAAAGGCAACAGTAAAATATTGGGCTTTCTGTCTGGATGGTCTCTTGTGACGAGCCGATGGACAGAGAATGGAAGCAGTTAGCTTCCTCCCATAATTTGCATGCATACACACACACACACACACACACACACACACACACAGTATATGCATGCGCACTCGTACAAGGAGATTATTTTAGATCCCAGATCAGGGGTCCTCAACCACTGGTCTGTGAAACCGGGCTGCGCAAACAAGTGAAGCCCCATCCATGATATGCAGGCAGCACACGAAACCATGCCCCCTCCGTGGTCTGCAGAAAAACCCCTCTCCACAGAACCGGGCCCTGGTGCCTGAATATTTGGGCATCACTGTCCTAGATGTCTTCCCTTACTCCAGGATCCATAAAGTATTTCTCTCCTACTGTTCAGACAGATACTTGAACAGCAGAGGTGGGTTGCTGCTAGTTTGGCCAGACCAGTAGTGGAAGTCAAGCCTAGGTCGCAGAACTGGCAGCGACCCAGGCCTGCCACACCTCCAAACCGGTTCCCTCGCCACCACTGCACCACCGCCATTTTGGATTTTAGTGACTGCGCATGCACAGTTCACTGTAAATTGTATTGAACAGCGTGTGTGCCTGACGCGCAAGGGTTGTGAACCAGTAGTAAAACCGGCAGCAACCCACCCCTGTCGAACAGTATCTGCTTTTCTTTAGGACAATTAAAAAACACTGTGCAGATAGTCCTCAACTTACAATCATTTGTTTAGCAACCCATCAGAGTTACAATGGTAGAAACAGAACGATTATGTAGCATGTTTATATAACATCTGCTGTGAGGATATTCCCCAGTTTGTCAGGCTGACCCACAGTTTTCACTATTATATTTTAATGCCCTTTTCACAGATTAATATAGACAGGCTTATCACACTGCTTTTAGGCATAATTTTTCTGCTGTGCTTTGCTCTTTTCCTTCAACATATCACTTTCAATAAATGCAGATCAAAAACGAGTATTTGCCAGGATAGAAAACTTAAGCAAAAAAGCTACACTATTCAAATACACTGCAGAGCACTGCAAACTGTGTCACAGCATGAAGGATAGAGTAATACATTTTCTAATGCCTGCTGTGTTATTTTGTACAGCATTTGTTAGTTCAGATGGTATGTTAGAACAAGTCATGTTGCTCTTTAAGCCTAATTCCACAGATAAGAAGTACTAAAATAAAAGTAGAATGCCTATTAAAGCCAGGGGTTTTATACTTCCCTTCTCCCAAGACAAGTGCTTAAAGATATGCCCAGGTGTTCTTTTACAAAGGGAAAAAAAGACAAGAAAAGTGATTAAAAGTTTGTCAGCAGCAAAGCAAGTTGAAATATCCAAAGGACCTCTTTTTTAAAAGAAAAAATTATTAAAACATAAGGAATGTGAATCAATACACAATCTATTCAATGATCATTTATTCTGTTATGAGAAACACTGTCAAAGGACTTGAGTGGCCACAGTGGAAAGAACAGATTTTTCAAATTTCCATTGAGGTCCTTTGAACACATTAAATATTTTCAGAATTGTATATTGCTGCAGACTGGCAAGGGATACGGAAAATTCAGTGGTAGTGTCAGAAAGTTATATTTATAAAGCCAATGATTGGCCAGAGAGTTACAGATTCAAAAAAGTTATGGATTAAGTCAAATATGCCCATGAACATCCAGAAATGAGGCACAAAGCTGACAAGGCAACTTTGCAT